ATGGTGTGTTTTGTAGTAGAAGTGGGTTCAATACCCAAGTTGTTTGTAGGACTTGCCTGTTTTTGCTGTTGAAAATTAAAAGAGAAATAGGCTGCTTTATTCATCTTTTTCTATTTTGATCTTCTGTTTCCCATCACATTATGAAATTTTATATATAATGTCAACACTGATTTGGTTAGTTGTGCATTTACTGTTGGTCTGTGATCTGACCCACTTCTTGATCATACGACTTTCATCGAATACGGCTGGGTAGCTGACCCTGTTAGTCCGTTCTTGCAAGAGGGGTCTATGTTGATTATAGAAAACAATCTCTAAAGCCAAACATAAATCAAATGAAATGTATGCATTTCCTACTAAATACATGGTTTATGGGCTCATAAACTTGCAAGCTGAACTCCTTGCATGATCACATTTGATGCAGTTAATTTTTATAGCTATAGATTGCCCTACCCAAGTTGAAGCTATTTGTCACAACCACTTTCTTCCCCCCCCCCCGGCATCACTTTGACTGTATTTGAGCTAATCTAACTCTTCGTAAACGTTGCATAATGTCTGTTTTTCTCCTAAAACTTCACTATTCACTAATTACADATTATTGACTGAGGTTCTTTGTGCTCCAATGTTAGGGGTTGTTTACCAAATGCTTACAGGGTAAGCATCTACCGGCAAGAGACATCACCTCATTTACTTTATCCCATAACATGTTTGGCCATCAAAATGGATTGTTGTTAAGCGTCTTAAACCTGGTGAACGCTTACTGGGTAAAAGTTTAACTTCTATGTTATAACTTTGTATAGTGTATTTTTGGTATTTTTGAAAATATATAATATTAGGTCCGGCCCCTGCGCTTGGAAAGTTTGTGTTCTGCCCATGCACGAAAGTTTTCGTTAAGGCAAGATCAGACTTTCGTGGCTGCTGTCAACAGCTGCTGTCCGGTAGCTCTTTTCCACCTTCGATGTCGATTTCGTCTTAGAAGCAGTCCAAATCTGCAAAAACTTAAAAATTGTGGGGTTGTTTGTTACCTTTCCAGATCATCTTGAAAAACTTAAATCCGAGCTCGGACGAGTTAGAGATGCTTGAAATACCATAGTCTCGTAAAGCTGTCAAAAATCTTCTTTTTGTCCCTTTTTCGCTCCAAAGTGTTCCGAACCTATCGACATATAAAAACAATCAATGTTTTATGTTTTATCATTTTAGTGTGTTAAAAAGGGATGTTTGATGTGAAAATAAGGTAGCTTTTAGCGACGGATCACCTATTATTTAC